AATGAGATGTAACCTAGAAGTGGTGGAATATAATCTGATATCAAATATCTTTATAATAAATTGATATTTAGAGAGGCCACATGAATCTACTGAAACTAGTAAATAATGGCATAAATAGCTAGCACATTTAGGAGATGAAGCCGTACAGCATCTAGAAGAGGCATCTATTGGTGCAAAAGTATTGAATTGCAAGAGATCAATCTGCGAGATGTGCAGGCTAGCAAAGGCCTATAAGCAGATATCTCAAACACCTAGAGAGAGATCAACCAAGCCATTTAAAAGCGTTCATTTTGATTTGATTCCGATGACTATTGCCTATAATGGTGATCATTAGGCCACGCATTTCATCTACGAATCAATTAGATGGCATGTCATCTACACGCATCCAGATAAAGATCAGCTTAATGGCCAAATATGGCAGTTTATCAAATAGGTTAAGATGTAATTTAATGTCAAGCTAAAGAGGATGTTCTCAGACCACGAACCAATGCTTGGAAATGAATATATATGCACTATGAAAGATGAAGGTATTGAGATCCTCTATTTAACATAATATATTGATGAGCAGAAGGGCCTAGTCAAACGCGCTGGAAGATTGATAATTGAAATGGCCTAAAGCATGAGAATAGCTGTAAGATTACCTAAGAAGCTATAGCTGCATATTCTTCATGCTGCTGTCTACCTGCACAATTAATGGCCGCGCAGAGAGGTAGTAGAGGAGAATGGACAGAAGAAATAGATATAGATTATGCCATATAAGAAGCTTTATGGCAAGAAGCCATCTTTAGTGAATCTGCATATATATAGATGCAGAATATATGTCAGGCAATATAAGATTCCAAGAATAAAGAAGCTGGATCCACAGGCCTGGATAGGTTATCTTATTAGATACACTGCATCTAATATATGGAAGATATGGAATCCACTAATAGGGAAGATAACTAATGAAAGAGACATCACATTTAATAAAGATATTATGTTTGATCTAGACAGGCTATTCCACACAGAAGTAGTTAAGATATCAAATATGCCAGAGCAACTAATCAAAATTAATAATATCACAATAAGTGAAGATATTAAGATAAGGCAGGAGGAAGAATTAAGTAATGAAGATGAGTTAGATGAAGTTAAAGCTTAGGGGTGAATAAAGTAATTAATGTAATAAGTAAAGGAATAAGTAAAGGCACTAAACCAGATACAGGAGGTGGTCAGATGGCAGAATCACTAGAAGCAAATATTATACCTCTAACTCCCCTTGCTACACCAGGAAGATCTATCTAACATGATGCACCTATTAAATCTATCAAATATGGAGATCTTACACCACATCTACAGTGTGTAGATATGGGCTAATATAGCATTCCTGGAGGCTGGATTGATAGCCCATAAAGAGAATAGCATGTTTGCCTTGATTTAATGACTCTGAGATCTCCTACTAGAATCAATAATTCCCCAGAGCCTGACACGCCTGTAAGGCTTATAGATACTCTACCTGAATCCCTAGATTAATTAGAGCTAGAAGATTCACCTTCAAAACAGCTCTATGAGGAGGTGAATTAATTAAGTATTAATCCAGCTACTCTAGATAATATCAATAATTTCCTAACAAAGCTAAAGTATAGTGTTAGTACTAACTTTTCAGTGGATAACATCATTAAAGGAAAATGACAGTGTTAAGCTCTATAAAATACCTATGCTAGTGCTTAGATAGATGGCTTAAAGTAATTCTACTCAGTATTTACATCATTTGGAATAGGCCTGTAAGATAAGGTATCTATAAAGAAATGACTTCATTAAGATGAAATACCACCTGTACCTAACAGCTGGAAGGAAATGCAAAAGCATCCACTAAAGGAACTCTTTAAAGTAGCTATAGAGTTAGAATATAATATATTATTAGCTTGAGGAACTTTTCAGAAGGTTAAACAGCCTAGAGATAAGCAGATTATTCTGCTACAATGGGTTTTCACATATAAATTTAATTAAGAAGACTATTTGATTAAGGCTAAGGCATGGATTTATGTATGAGGAGATATGCAGCAGATGACATGTGATAATACTATAGCTACTACTCTTACTGCATAAATATTTTAAATGTTAATGGCTATTACAGCAGTATTTAATCTTAATATACAGTAAATTAATACTATTAACGCATTCATCAACAGCAAGCTAGATGAGGAGGTCTATACCTACATAGCCAAAGGATTCTCTAAATATGGTTATATTTACTAGTTAAAATGAGCCCTCTATAGCTTATGAAGGGCACTGCACCTCTAGCAGAGAGATATTTCAAAAGCCCTTAATAAGATAGGTTTGCGAAGAATCAATACAGACTTATACCTTTATACAGATGATAAGACTGTTGTCCTAGTGTTTATGGATGACATACTATTTCTTTACTATCCTAAAAGCAAGAAGCATGCTAACAATCTAATTCAAAAACTATAAGAATGCTACAAATTCCATGATCTAGGTAAGGAAGAGAGCTTCCTGAATATCAAGATTAGCAGGGATCGAATGAAATGGAAGCTTTAGCTCAGCTAACAGGCATATATTAATAAGATTATTGCAAGATATCATTTGGATTCACCTAATAGGAAGCCTTGAATACCTACAGCAGAGAATCTACGTCCATACAATGGGAAGGCGATGATTGAAGAGATACACCACTATTAATCTAAAATTAGATTAATTCTCTATGCTGCAGTGATCACTCACTTAGATATTACTAAGATAATGTCTGATCTAGCAAGATATCTCTTAAATCCTAGACCAGCTCATTTTAATGCAGCCAATCGCATCATTACATATCTCACTTCAACAAAGGACTACGCTTTAGAATATAGAGATGATTTAACAGGGAATATCTTTATCATTGCAAGCAACGCCGCCTACGCAGATCAATTAGATCATAGCAGCAGCGAAGGATATCTGGTGAAGCTATTTAGTGCCACTGTGGATTAGCGCACAGGGAAGCAACAAACAGTTACAACTTCCACTACTAAGGCTAAATTGCTTGCTATCTCAGAGGCCGCGAAGAACATCTATTAGTGGAAGTAATTATTCTTAGATATTAGATTCAATCCAGAGCATAAGATATCCATTCTGTGCAATAATCATCAAATAGTAGGGCTACTGCGCAGTGAAGAGCCTATAATTCGCACGAAGCTACACCATGTTAATATACATCAGCACTAGCTTCAGCAAGAGGTCCAATCAGGCCACATATCAGTTAAATGGATTGAAACCAATCGCATGCCGGCAGATGGCCTTATGAAGATATTACTGAAGAATAAGCATATTAACTTTTATAAGATGGTTAGGCTCATAGACCAATCAGGAAGCAGAGATTAAGCTTCAACCAATCTAACACCATCGATTCAACATGATTACTCGATTTAGATATGGATATGGCTTCAACAGCTATGGATTTTGTATGCAGCTTCGCCTAACAGCTCAGCTGGGGGGGTGTATTGAATTATGTTACCACTTGCCTGATTTGGAAGTATATGAACTGGCAAAGCACTGCCACTCTTGGCTGAATATTCGATAGCATTCGATCATTTAAAAGACCTGCAATCCGACCCCTATTGAAGGCATATATAGGAGATAGATAGTCATTCGTTTAGAAGAATCGGACCTTCATTGATTTTCGATTGGCCATATAGTTTACTAGTGATTTGGAAAGTTTATGTATCCTAGCGACTTCAACAGCTTGCCAAGATCCCCCACCTCCGTCCTTCCTGACTGAAACACCGGAACGTTTCTGTTGCAGAATGCCCTTCAAAGCGGAGACGACCGTATCTCTGCCCTGTAGGGGAATAGTGCTAAGATACTAGCAGCCCATAATTATATAATTAGAGGCCCTACAGCATAGGCATCTTCCTTTACTACAGTAATAGGATAGTTTAGCTTTATTAACCCACTTAGCATGGTGATGTTGGTGAGCTAGGGTTATAGTAGAAGGTTCCTAATCTAGACTGGCTGACCCAATCCGCAAATCCATATCCAACCCACCCAATCCGCACTTTGGGTTGGATGGGGGTCGACCCTGATCTAACCCATATAGATATGGATAACCCATTGGGTGCACGTGACCGGCAGAATAATAGATATTCATGATATTCTCTCAAAGAGAGATCTTTCTACCTACTAAAAGTAGTATAGTCTAGATTCTTAGGTCTTTCCGCCTACCGAAAGTAGTATAGTCTAAAATCACATGTATGATATGGGTAGAATGGTTATCCGCAACCCAACCCGCATGGATATGAGGGTGGGTTAGATAGGTGGTGGATCAACCCATAACCCACATGGGTTGGATTGAACCCCTTGCGGATCCATCCAAACCCAATCCACGACCAGTCTAGATTTGATCTTCTTTAACGCCATGAGGAAGGTCCTGGTGCCTATATAATTGACGCCAAGTAAGTGGGGCTCTGAAAACCAGAAGAATGCCTTCAGCACAAAACAGTACGATGTCGTCACCTAACCGAAGGCAAGCGCTAACATCGAGCAGATATACAGAAAGCCATTGGTGTTGGGAAGAACCCTAACCGGGTGCACCATCATGGTGGACCAAGCGTATCAGCGTCCCCATTTCCAAAGTTGCCGTCCGCGGCATTTCTATTATTCCGTACAACCCCACAACGCACGGCACTATTCAAAGAAGGTGGCACATGTAAGCACTAGTCGCTTTCCAGCCTCAGACTTTTGTGAAGTATCCATGCGATCGCTTTCTCCTTTCTCCATAGGTTTGAAATATTTTGCTGGTGAACTTACTGTCTGACAGTAAGTCATAATTTTCTCGCGCTATTTCTTTCACTCGGAAAATGATACATCGCAATACTCTGGTACAGAATTGCGGCTGAGTACCGGACTACTCGCATTAAGCAAGTACGGCAGTCATACTCTGACTCCGGGAATGTCACGTCGCCCTCCATATTGTAGAAGTGGGCTAGTACTCTGTCCTTGGTGAAGGTCGGGTATGGCGTCAAGTCCCTAGATCTCGCGTGATTTTCGGGGGAAGAATTGATTTTGATGGCTCCATCACACACGGTCAAGGGTGTAGAAATGTACTGCCCAAGGTATCTGCTATAACGCTATGTTATAGAGTTCACAAAACCTAAAGGTAATTCTTTCGTGACTATCTAACCCCTTCTCCTTGCTAAGAGCAGGATGCTTCGCGTTTCAACTTCAACTGCAATCTCCCGCCAATCTTCCCGCGACGCATGTTCTTTCCAATCTGATTCTACGTGTATCATTTCCTCCATAAGAGCGTCAATAATATCACCATTGCCGCCCTCGGCCTTTGGAATGGCGCTTGGATGGGCCACACTCCATTCATGCACAGAGCTCCATGTTCGAAGTAATGACTCCAGTTCGCTGAGCTTCAAGCGAGCAAACATTTTCACACCATGCCCGGTTCCTGCTCCAAGTGATTCCAAACAAGGCTCGTACTCCAGCCTGGCGATGTCCTCCCATCTTGATAAATCGGCGCATTCCACGGCTCGCATTCGCTCATTCCAAATGGTGTGCCCCGGCCGAGGCCAGTAAGGACCTAGATGTTCAGGGCCGTCCGAATACATCCTGAGGACCCTGTCTGCACATGGACGTCCAATGAGAAAATACCGGCCCCAGTTCCAGAATGCAACGGTGCCCTCAGGGCGAACAATGCGGTACAGTTCATCCCATATTCGCCTGGGATCGAACCAGTGCGCCGCCTGTACTGCTAATACCAAATCCACTGTGCAAGACTCGATAAAGGACATGTCCTCGGCGACTGATTGATGGTATTCAATACGGCCTGACTCTGTAGAGGCGGTCTGTGATTGCGCTTGGCGTAGCATCCCCTCTGACGGATCAATACCGAGGACAAGTGGAAAGAAATTGGCTAAGCCATGGGCAGCTACGCCATGGCCAGTGCCTAAATCGACACATAATTTACGTGGACCATGGTGGTAGTCTAAAACTGTGTTAAAAAGAGAAGGAGGAGGAGGGAGCCGATGTGCTGCATATTTTGCGGCCGGGTATCCCGTCTTTCTGATCAAGTAGGTCAGCATACCGACCAGGACTATTTGCATCAGTCATGCTCACATACGCAAACGTAGCCATTTGATAGTAATTCCACTAGACGTCCTGGTGGGAAATTCGATAGAAACACACATAGATACAGTCGTGGTCAACGCTTCAGCTATTTACCTAAGTGCCACAATGGAAGCACGCCGCTTTTCTCCGTATCATATCTATGCAGGCCACGTTGACCGCACATTAATGTCCTGTTGAATTGCATGAGGTGGAGGAGCTTGCGGCATAGTTACACCAGTTAATTACCTCAACTTCTTCACCGCACATTGGATTCGACACGTCATACTGTAACACACCGTCGTTGTGGTCTCCCACTGTCGCTTTGTCAAATTCGGAGTGTGTAGATTATTTACTTGAGTACCATGATGGAAGCACGCCGCTTTTCTCCGTATCATATCTATGCAGGCCACGTTGACCGCACATTAATGTCCTGTTGCATTGCATGAGGTGGAGGAGCTTGCGGCATAGTTACTGTACACCAGTTAATTACCTCAACTTCTTCACCGCACATTGGATTCGACGCGTCATACTATAACATACCGCCGCCGTGGTCTCCCATTGCCGCTTTGTCAAATACGGAGTATGTAGATATTGGTCATCTGTTGATCGGCTCCTTTGTTCGATATTTAATTGAAGTCTGTTACTGTAAGAAAGAACGCTAGACATAGACTTCATTCCTACGGACTAGCCGGCTCTTCTTGCTTTGGAAGTACAGCAGCCAACATCACCTCATAGGCAATTAGCAAGTGCGTTACATGCTGGCCACTACCTATTCAGACAAGTTCACGGAACGCTGCTATAAATGTCGCCATCATTTTCGACTTCGTCCACAGCGGCACGCACCCGGGCTCTCTTTGAGACCACGAAACGCGTTCTCGCCCAGTCTATAAACGATGGCCTGGTAGACGCAACAATTGAGCCCTTTCCAACCTCTTCAAAGCCACAATGTGTGATTCTCCGGGGCAAAGAAGATGGTGGGCAAAGCAGAAGCATCATCTGCATTACAGTCGGGATCTTGCCATATGCGCGGGTGGAATTAAACGGCGTGAGAGTCACTGGCTTTCTCCGTCCAGATGACCTGCAGCTTCCTGTACAAATCGAACATGCTACCGGTGGTCTTCAGGATGAGGTTGATCCAGGTACGATATGCCAAATTGTTTGCCTCTGGCAAACTGAGAGGGTGAAAAGTGAGGAGTCTCTTGTGCGAGAGGTTCGCAACTCAGCGGAAAACCAGGGTGAGCTATCTAAAGCCCACCGCTTTATTGGCATACAAAAGGCAAACTGGTGTCGAAATTAACCTTGAATACAGACAAGTGGCTTGAGATGGAGAAGGGATTGCCTCGATTATCTTTGCGATCGCCTCTGATTGATTGGGAGCGATCATGTATCTTAGGGCATCCCACTCATCCGGTACGAACTTGGCCAGGCTCACTGCAGTCCTTTCATTACCTTGGCTGATCTATAGTTAGCTGCATCGAACCCTTCTGGCACAACCGCCTCTAAAACCGATTGACGCCGCTGAATTGCCCACGCTGTTGGACCCTGAAGTTTCCTTCATATCAGTACCCAGGACAAGCTTACATGTTACAGGGCCATTTGAGCAGCTAATAAAGCCCCTTTTCGATAAGCTGGACGTTTTTGAGCCATCGTCCGAGCGCATCATCGTCCCATGCTTTTCCCGCCAGCTCCCCTCCATCCGAGCTCACTTCTCCGATGTAATCCATATTAAATCGGTCGAGCACTGTGCTCAAGCGCATATTTCTATGCGGACTGTTTCGATTAGACCTGAACTAGGCTTCACCCCTCACCTAAAGCTCTCTTTGAATTGCCAGATTACGTCGGGCCCGAGAACGATCACTCCTTGGACTGCACTGGCAGGGCCGGTGGTCACCCAATTTCTGAAGAAGCTGCTTCCTCCTGACCTATGGGTTTATGGGGAGATAGCATCCATTACAGGCAGTCAGACAGACTTTGACAGGGCTCGTCATCTAACTTGCATAATTCGAGAAAACCTTGAAAATAAGGCTGAGCAAGAGAATGTGGCGTTGATTCCTGCTACTGGGTTATACCAGAAACCCTTTGGTGATGACCGGACCTATGCAGAGATCTTATTCGAGTTGGATACCTTGGACAGAAAAAGGGACTGGTTCAGACAGTCAGTCATTTCATGTTTTGAACCAATCTTGATCGCCGATGGTATCTACCGGGAATATCGTGAGACTAACAATTTTGCTACATTAGCTATACCGCAAACCTGCTGAGGGCGCTGCTACCACCATTGGCATCTCATGGAATCGGCCTGGAGAGTCACAGTCAGAATATCGTGGTGCGAGTCCACCTGAAGACGAAAGAAATTGTCGGGTTTGCTGTCCGCGACTTTGGCGGTGTCCGACTCCACCGTCCCAGCCTTCAGCGCGCTGGCTGCGACCTGAGCTCGGTCCCACCAGGCGGTCCTACGATCACCGATGATTTGCATTCGGTATGGTGCAAGGTTCATCACTCACTGCTCCAGGTCCACCTGGGACATCTTCTCTACATGTTGGGCTTGGAGCCGAACGGAGGATGGCCTGTCGTGCGGGATGAAATAGAGCGAGCTCTGAAACCAATTGAAAATGAGGGAGCACGAAAGCTGTATGCATACTTTATGAAGAGAACCATGCAGTTTAAGTGCTTCATGATAATGAGGTTAAAGGGGTTTATCGTGATGTAAGAACAAGACCCAGCATAACACCACGACAGGAGCACCATTGCTAACACATCTAAGTACTATGAAAGGGAACTACCAAATATTGTCTTAAGGGATTAAACATACGGCCAAGTACTTCGAAATATTGAGCTCTGCTGTTGGCCTTCTCGCCTGGTGCATTATTGATCCAGTACACTTTGCTTCATCTGCTCATGGCCTATCCACTAAGCGTGGGATTATTTGAAAAAAATATCACAAGTCACCATTCAAATCAGTTGTTGAGTTCTCAGATTCTTCTGCGTTACCTTATTGCTTGCTATAACTTACTCAATAATAACTGAATATAGTGAGGATGGATACTGCCGTTCTGTTCCACTTCGATCTTGTATGTTGTCAGTATCATTCACTTGTTGTGCTGCCTTCACTCCAAATAACTCCCGTCTCCCCAATATCTTTACTGCAGCTGATGGGAGCCCCTATGCTCAGTCTCTTCCCGTCCAAGCTGTTGAAAGACTGTGAAAGCAACCCAAGTCTGCAGCTGAGTGCAAATTAATGCCAGTAACATAGCAAAAGAGGTGAGATACCTCGTTTGTTGATGACATGGACTCGCTTACTTGTTTCAGCAAACCTGCCGCCCGGTCGCCCACACGTCTGATATCCCCTTCTCGCCTCTCCACCCTTCCTGCCTACATCTATCCATTCAACGTGACGGAGGGGACAACGTGAGTGATGGGCCTTTGGTCAATCTCCCTTCACTAACGAATTCAGAAACTGTCCTTTCGAAAAGTTTTGGTCTGCAGGCTTGGAGGGAAGTGTAGGTATTTTCATACCACCCCAGCTCACTCTTCACCGGCGCCTGGGGCTGCTTACAAAAGACATCGCTTCCAAAGGATCTTCAGCGTTAGGTAGATAAGCTGGCTTGTCACGGAGTAGCGCTATTGACGACAAACAGATTGCCTACTGACAGTAGGTGACTCGGCGGGCTGGCACAGGCGCTGGAAGAAGACAGGTTCCTACCAGCTCGTTTGTTGGCCTGCTGAGCAAGCCTACTTCCTAAGCTGACGAACGCAAGCTGTAAAGGCTGAACCTCCTATACTAGGTCAAATTGGTCAGGAGACTTCGCTCAGGTACTGATGTTTGACGCTCATGCCCCGTGCATTGATAGGACCTGGGCGTGTGGGCCTAGATCCGGAGAATGCTTGGATCAGTATGGCTGTATCTCAGCACTGCTTAGGCGTCTCTATATCCCAGGCACACAGGTTTATGGTAGGCTGGTCTGTATGCTACCTTTCACATCCCATGTATATATTTAGGCCCCGCATATCTTAGGAAGTAACGGCGAACTTCCTAATTTCTTCTCTTTGACTGCTACTATGCATCTCACTCTCTTCAGTGCCTAGTGGGTTTGAAGATCCTCCCAGAGGAAGTAGGGGACATGGGAGTTATACTAAAGGCAGGTGTTCAGACTGGCAGAGACCCGGATTTTGCCATGGAGATCAGGAGCTTAATCATTTGCTTTCAGTATTACCAACTTCAATCATTAGTCTGGTCATGGCTGGCAGAAAATGCAAGCTTCACTGGAAGAACCACTGAAACAGGGACATAATTTGGTCAGGTAGATATCATACATTCAACTGACCCTATTTGTACCAACTGCCCCAGGGATGCCCGCGATCTCTATGGAAATGGCCCTAGCAGTTCTTTGATACGGACGTCCTCTTCCTCAGCCAAATGTTACCTCAGTCGCTGTGAACCTTCTTTGGCTCATCATACGCACACTTGGATTTTGAAATAAAACGGCCGCTCTAAAGGAAGTTAGAGGAAATTCACGTCGCGAATAGAAAGCCGCTTGAAGACTGTCCATCTGATACGCTTGGTCCACCATGATGGTGCTCCCAGTTAGTGTTCTTCCCAGCACCAATGGCTTTCCTGTATATCTGCTCGATGTTAGGGCTTGCCTTCGGTTAGATGACGAAATTGTACTGCTTTGTGATGAAGGCGCTTCATCTAGTTTTCAGAACCCCACTTAGCGTCAAAATCTCCCGAAGTTGCTGGAGGACTTCCGTCTGCCCTTTGGCAGTACGGCTTCCAGTTTCGCAACCAAAATGCCTTGATTTCCCTTAGAAAGTTTCAATCTGCCATCGTCGCCACTTGCTTTATAGCCTTCCTTGTTCTGGGGATTGTCGTCAGACAGGCTTATGAGACAAACAGGAAGATCTCCAGTAGTCATGCCACTAAGGACACTGGAGATACGCCAGGCCGTGGAGCTCCAAAGCCATTACTGGTAGAGATGCTGGGAGGAACACCAGAAGGTGTAGCTCCAACAGTCATGCCATAAGGGACACTGGGAGGTGTATAGGCTGTATAGTTCCAGAGTTATTACTGGACAAATCTCCAGGCAGAATGCCAGAGGCGCTGGTTCCTCAGCATTTGTGCCACTACTTACCGCCCACGATTTCGCTGTGGTGTGACTAAAGTGGTAGAGACATAACTAGTGTCAACCGTTCCCTGATTAGAGTTGCATAACCGAACCGCAAAAATCGAACCCGAACCTCACCGAACTCGCAGTGGTTTGGGTTCGGTTCCTAGCCTAGGGAATCGCACTGGTTTTGGTTTCCATAGGGTGGAACCACTTTGAGTTCAGTTAAAACCGCCAGTTACGGTTTTTGCAGTTTTGTGAGTTAGGTTAACCTGTGACAATCCGTCACCATGTTCCCCGCAGACCTCCTTGCACGGAGCTTTCTGCCCATCTTGACTGCTTACCTCTCTAGGGCTGTTTGGATTATTTGCACTATTCCACCCTCTATTTATATATCTCCCTACTATGTACATACTTCTTCCCCCTCTTCTCTATACTTAGTTTTTTATCAAAATACTACCATACCATTAGAATATAAGCAGTGCCATCATATAAAACTAAGTATCATTTCCTGCATCATCTCTTTCATTAGAAGGTTCAAGATCCAGTAATAAACACATTCTTTTTCACATCAAGCACTAATCTTACCTCCTCTTGTAAAGAACCCTTCGCATGCCAACAACACCAATGGTTAGAGACAACAATACAATCTATTAACTAAGATCACAAAAGAATAAATGATAGCCAGACCTGTAGCTTCCACTAAGGAGCCTGAGAACTAGCAAGGAGCTGGGAATAGAACCTATAACCCCTCCACTCAGCATACTAAACCAGGCTCAGGTTTCACTAGAAGGCTGACTGCCCTACTCAACCAGACAGAGAATAGTGGCCTTAATAAAGACACCCACAAGCTAGCTAACAGCATCTCCTATAAAGAATTCACTGCCCACTAGAGAATGGACCCTAAGCACTACTAGGAAGCCATCTCCTAAATCTATATTACTTTAGACATAAAGGCAAACTAGAACTATGCAGAGGCAGCTCTCCTAAATAAGTAACTTATTAAGAGCTAGAGTAAGACCAACAATCTTAAGCACTAGAATAAACAGATCTATCAGGAACATAAATAGACCTAGGCCCAGCTTATCACCACTAACCTAGAATATAATAAGGCCTGAGAGAAGCTTAAAGAGGTAATCTGCAAATAAAATAACTTCACCCTATAGGTAGCCTATAGATCTGGCATTAGAAATACTAGTTCCTAGGCTTTAGCTACTAGTAGTAAGTTAGTAAAGATTCCAGACCCCCCTCTCCTTAGTGATGGAAAGGACCCTTATTTTAAAGATTAGTTACTAGCCATTAAGCAGAAGCTTATTACTAATACTAACTACTTCCCTAACCCTATAATGAGAATTACCTACATGACTAGTTACACTAAGGGCAACGCCCAGAAGCACATTACCCCTTATCTATAAGAAGACACTATTAACCCATACCAGGACTCCACTGACCTCCTCAAGCACCTAGAAAATATATTTACAGACCCTAATCATGAGTAAGTTACTAAGAGGAAATACAACACCCTCTATATAAAGCTATCAGTCAAATAGAATAACTTCATTTCTAAGTTCCTATACCTTATGGTGGAAGTAAGCATCCCTAAGAAGACCTAGAAAGATAACCTATATAATAAACTATCTCTCCGCATGCAAGAGCTCACTATGCCTATGTATAATAATAATAATAAGACCTTCTAGGAGTTTATGGACTACTGCAGCCATACAGTAATAAATATTAAGAATATAGAGAGAATTAAGGCTTATTTAAATAGTAGTGCTAATACTTAAACTAGAGGGACTAGAGTAATATCTTATACTACTACCCTAGCTGCAGCCACTCCCTCTATAGATAATACTACTACTTATGGCTGTACTGCTATAGCTTCCCTGGTTCCTAGCAACCTTGATAATAAGACTAGGAAGTGTCTTATAAGTAAGGGCAAATACTTTATATACTTCTAGGTTAGGCATACTAGCTACAGCTACCCCATGAAGCAGGCTGCACAGCTTAAAGTATTAGAATAACCTATTAAGCCCACTCCTAAACTAGAAAATAAGGATGCCTAGGAGAAGTCTCCTTCTTAGGTGCAAATTTAGTCAACTTATATAACTTAGACTTACAGAATCTATTAGGCAATAAAGAAGATAGTTTCAAATTAAAATCTCTTATCCTTATTAATAGATTCTTAGTATCTATAAGCTCCCTAGTTAACACCAGAGCAAATATATACATATACATGACCACTTCCTTAGCTATCCAGATATCTTAATATTTTAGAATACCTACTATGCCCCTAGAAAGGGAGTATATAGTTATAGGATTTGATGGAAAGCAGTCTATTCCCCTTACCCACATCATTATATTAACTATAGCCACAGACAATCGCATTATAAGATAGATGCTATTTCTTATACTAGACCTACGATGCCATAATATTATACTAGGAAGGATGTGGCTCACAGAACACTATATACTAGTGGATTGCGCAGGGAAATAGTTGATCTAGTCTTCACCACCCACCTACCAAGATGAGATAGCTATATAGATGAACCAGGAGGTCCCTCATAATTTCCTAATTAGGTAACCTATTAACTAAGATCACCAACATGATGTGATACACTATACTAGGTAATAGGCAAGGTATAAAAGGGACATCTTCCCTCCCTTAGCTCCATCTTCTCTTCTCTCCCCAACCACCCCT